TCCATTTCGTAACATATAAAAGGAACTGATTGATTACAAGAAGCCATTGCTTTCATATATCCCGAATCTTCTACCATTTAGATTCATTGGATGTTCTTGCATTGTAAACTCAAGAAATAAGACTGGCCAAATATACTAAAAGAAATCCTCACCTTCTACTGTAATAGGAATTTTCTTGCTATTGTGTGCATGTTGAATTTTTTTTTAAAATTATACTTGTGCAAATCTGGGTTTTTTCCCCCTTGTATGCTGATACTGCCTTCACATTTCTCCGTGGCCCTGTTTCGGTACTTACAACTGGAGTCTGTTCCTCACCAATCTCATCCTGTTCTGGTTGGGTTTGTGGGACCTGGGCTCTGAAAGAGCGGTGGGGATGTTGATCTGGCAAACCTATAAGCTTTCCTGTATTAGAGTGTACTTTATGACATGCATGAAGTCATATCTAGTATACATACACATAGGGTGAAGAGGAATAAAAATAGAAGCAGTGTGGGCAGAGGGAAATGAGGTTGTTTTTTAAAAATGTACAGATTGTGGCAATTACATTAAAGTTGAAAGGTACAGGTAGCAAGTTCAGTGACTGTTTACGAGGCATTGCTGACGATAACACAAATATCCTGCTGCCAATTAGCAGAGGAACACGTCAGATATACACCTGAAGTGGAATTAACCAAGGCCAAAACGTGTGTTTGCAGAGTATATTAAAGCCTTCAGCAAGGAAGGCACAATAGATTTAAATGGAGAGCTCTGTTTTTCTGTAAGAGTAGAGCGCTTGGAAATCTACACCACCCTGCCCCTTGTATGTCTCTTGAGACGTTGTTGTTGTTGTTGTTGTTGTTGTTGTTGTTGTTGTTGTTGTTGTTTAGTCATTAAGTCATGTTCGACTCTTCATGACCCCATGGAACAGAGCATGCCAGGCCCTCCTCTCTTCTACTGCCTCCCGGAGTTGTGTCAAATTCATGTTGGTTGCTTCGCAGACACTGTCCAGCCATCTCATCCTTGGTCGTCCCCTTCTCCTCTTGCCTTCACACTTTCCCAACATCAGGGTCTTTTCCAGGGAGTCTTCTCTTCTCATGAGATGGCCAAAGGATTGGAGCCTCAGCTTCAGGATCCATCCTTCCCCTGAGCACTCAGGGTTGATTTCTTTCAGAATGGATAGGTTTGTTCTCCTTGCAGTCCAGGGGACTCTCAAGAGCCTCCTCCAGCACCACAATTCAAAGGCATCAATTCTTTGGCAAGGCAAGCTTTCTTTATGATCCAGCTTTCAATTCCATACGTCACTACAGAAAAAACCATAGCTTTGACTATGCGGACCTTTGTTGGCAAGGTGATGTCTCTGCTTTTTAAGATGCTGTCTAGGTTTGTTGTCACTTTCCTCTCAAGAAGCAGGCTTTAATTTTGTGGCGTGCAAAGAGACATTAGAGAGGGTCAAAATGAACAACACAGCTGTCATCTTTATTTTTGGTAAATAATAATAATAATTTTAAAAAGCCATTTTGTTTTAATTGACTTTGGAGCAAAGCTCGTCCCAAATGATCTAAGTTCTCCTGGGAGCTTCATATACAAAAAGGAGCACTCAAAGAGGAGACCATTCGATTTTTGTTCGTGAGTTGACTTTAAAAGCTGGCGACCCGTCCCCGTCCATTCCCACCCATAAGACCCTATGCTGAGTCCCACAGGACTCACTAGCCGAGCACTAGCCCCTCTGCTAACTGGCAGGTGTCCCGTGGATGTGTTATCGTCACTTTGCACTCAATGGCCTGCCCCACCTCTGTGACATCACACAGACCCACCCAATCCTGGACCAATCTGCTCCAAAGTAGTCCCCACGGAGTTTGGTGGTTAATGCTGCCAGGCTGCATGTTGGGTAGAAACATTTTAATTAGTTCATATAACTACTGAATTGAGTCTATTCCTCTGTGTCTCAATCATTCCCGCGGGCAATTCTGATCGGAAACCTCACAGAGTAAATTTACATGTTCTTATTCCAGAGTTAGCTGGAGACACTAAATTGCTTCCATTCCAATGAGCCAAGAAAAGCAGCTACATTATCACAACAGAATGAAATTCAACAGGGATAAGTGCAAAGCACCGCACCTAGGAAAAAGAAGCCAAACACACAGTTGCAGGACGGGGGATACTTGGCTCAGCAGTACTACAAGCATGAAAGATCTTGGAATTGCAAGTTGAATATGAGCCAAGAGTGTGATGGGGCTACAAAAAAAAAAAAAAAAAAAAAAA